AAAGTGAATTTTAAAAATTACTTCAAAATTGAATGTTTACTCACTATTCATTGTGAGAAAATTTGTTTGTGTTAATATTAATTTTGATTTTGACAAGATTTTTGAAGAATAATGAGACATTTTTTTCCCGATGTTTCCTTTGGAACTACGGTAAATTTTCATCTTTTGAAAATAATTTTGAATTAAAATAATGGTTGAATTTTAATAAAAATATAACCATTTCAGACAGAGCTATAAAATTTTGGACCATGTTATCTGTATTAACTATTCCAATTATGTAGAATTTTATTTTTAATTAAAAAAGACAAAAGCCAATTTATTTTAAAATTATTTATTCTATTAAAAATGAGAAAAGTATGGGCTTCACTTTTCTTTCTCTTCTATAACTGTATGTATTATAGTGATGTAACTTTTTTAAATATTTTCTGTTGTAAAATTACTAATTTTTTGAAAAAAATTTAATTGAAAAATTATGTATAATTATGTATAATTTATTTTCTAAGCATGGATCAGTATCATCTGGGAGTATTGGAAAATGGAGTATATAATAAACTGTATACTTGTCAGGATTAGTCTCTGTCTCCCCTCGGAAAAACCTAGATTTAATCATATTTCCATTATTTACTATATAAAAAGTAACTGCTTTATAAAATGTGCATATGAGAGCATGTAAAAATAACAAATTTGTTTGTTATTTGGTAACTTTAATTTTATGCATGCTATTAATTACCTTAAGATACCCTTATTGATCATTTTGTTTTTCTTTTAATAAAAATTTGTTATTGCTTCTAGAAAATAAAATTACACTAAAAACAAATATGTTATATTTATCTTTAATTACAATAATCTTTTAGATAAACTTATAATAAACTAAGATTGATAAGTATTGTAATAGCAGTAGATAGAGAACTATTGTAATAACAATAATAAACTAAGATTGATTATTGTATCTTATCTTAGTTTTATAATTACAACAATCTTATATTTCGAAACTTTTCTCATATAAGTAAACTTTTCCTAAACGCAGGCTTGTAGAACAGATTTTGCATGTACCCTTACCTTAATTGTCTCCATTTAATTTATCTAAATTTAAGAATTTCAATTATATGTGGTACACTGCAAAGCGTTGACCACATTGCGGCGATTCTCTTTAATGACTGGTTTCAAAATTTATTCGTTAAAGAAGTCAAACATTGCTTAGAACACCAAAAACTTGATTTTCGATAGTGCTTCAGGAAGCCCTCACATTATTGCATCCAAATGTAGAGGATCCGTCACCGAACATTACTTTCGTAATACAAGTACTAGATCAAGGAATCAAAAAACATTCAAAGCCTTAATTTAGAAATCAAACAACAAAAATCAGCGTTATATTTTGAAATTTTCACAGGACCAGTTTCAATGGTTTTATTGAACCATTATCCTCAGCTGCCAAAGTGCAAATGAACGAGATAAGATAAAAATGGCTGGACAGGAGTTAAGCTACAGGTGTCATCTGTTGATGAAACGAGAACTAAAACATAATTTCCTTAACCTTTTCGCGACGGCGCACCTTTGTTTAAGACGCTCGTGCGGGACTTTTGGTTTTCTGATTTTTGTTATAAAATTAGGCTTAGCGATGCAAAACCTCCGTCCTGTACGGTGACTGCCTTCGATTCTCTTCCGTCCCGCACACAAAGGTGCATGCAAGGGTACATGCAAAATGTGTTCTACAAGCCTGCATTTAGGAAAAGTTTACTTTATATGAGAAAAGTTTCAAAATATAAGATTATTGTAATTATAAAACTAAGATAAGATACAATAATCAATCTTAGTTTATTATTGTTATTACAATAGTTCTCTATCTATTGCTATTACAATACTTATCAATCTTAGTAGCATCGTAATTTTTGGTATCATTTTAGATTATTATTTGAGCTCTTATATATGTTAAAATTAGCCCTTGAATTTCTTTATTTTACATGAAAATATACTTAAAAAATTGCTTATCTTCTAAAATAATTTTCGGAAGCGCTATTCAAATTATCCAAAGTTTTAATTAATAAAATGCATCAATGAAGTTAAAATTAATAAATATGAATAAAATCAATAAAAAGAACACAATAAAGACTATTTACAGTAAAAAGTAACAAAATTTAAAATGAAAACGAGTGTGGTAAATCTCGAAGCACAGAGAAGTACCACTTTGCAACTCTTAGAAAAGGTATCACTTTTTAACTCTTTAGAAAATGAATCAGTACTCTCATTTGCGTTAGTAAATGGTTCACTAACCATACAAGGGTATTCTTCCTCTGATAAATAGCGCCTTCCCGCCGTAATAGACTGGAGGTAAGGCTTTCCTAAATAAAAAAAAGAAGGAATGGAAATATATCTGAAGGTAATGCAAAACGTAAAAAAACTCTGCACTGTAACCCTAAGAGACCGTACATAATAGAGGAAAAATAGAATAAAAAAAGGAATTGGATATAAATCAGATACGAGAATGTTTTCATTAGCACGCAGCGATTTAAAGAGCCCACCTCTGTTTATGCTTTCCCTCCGCCCCCCCCTCGAACAGCTGATGAATAAAATATCAAAGTCAAGCAGAATATATCAAACTCAAGGTCAGGAACCTGAGGTCAGGAATTCGGCTGGCTGGCTTCCAGAGTCCTTCTAGAATTGCAAACCCGCAATTCTAGAAGGCTCCAGAAAAATGTGACAAAATGAGAAATGTCTTCATTGTATTAACACATAATGGATGTAGTTTACAGCAAGTTTGTGATGAAATTCTTATATTTTGGAGAATTTTTGGAAGGACAATGAAAACATAATATTTGAATGTTGTACTAGAAGTCTTTTTCTTAATGTGTGTATCTTTTCTTTATTTTATCAACTTTTCACTAGACACAAGTATGGAAAATATATAAAAAAAAAAAAAAAAAAAAAAAAAAGTTTCAAATCTTTTCGCATGAACAGGGTATTTATAAAAAAGGAATTTTTCTGTTAATAAAGAAATTGAAAACTGACAATTTAAAAGATTCATCTTGTATGTCTCAATGGATCATACGTAGGGCTGGCGTTAGGCATTTCCCCCCAATGCAATCTCTGTGGATCCTAAATTCTGCCGTCTAGTGCCTTCCTAAATTATGCTGCCTAGTGCCCTCCTAAATTATGCTCTTAGTGCCTGTCCTAAATTCTAAACATTCTGCCTCATAGGCTTTAAAACCAGCCCTTACCATATATCATTTCATATTTATTCTGAATGTTCAGCTTCTTCTTTACATTCTCAATGCATTTGTTTTTTAGAATAATAGAAATCTTTTAATTCCAAAAATTCTAAAGTAAAGAGAAAACTTACTGAAGAAAGAAACTGAATACATAAAAAGGAAGAAGATTATTCTTAAAAGATATGTAAAGTTATTATTATGCAAATTAAATGGTTCATAAATTTAGCCTTTTCTATAACTTCCCCTTTCTATTTCCTTACCATAATGCAAATCAGATACTTTTTGAACTGAGGTTTTTGGATTGTAAGACAGTGTGGTTTTGTCCTCCACTTGGATGTTGCTTTAGTTCCTGCTAGCTCTGATAATTTGTAATTATTCATCTTTGTGTTATCGCTGCTAACATTTGAATTTGATATGACGATAAAGTTACTGAACGAATTTAGATTAAAATTAAAGTGTATTCTTTGACTAATAGTCCACATTTTTACTTTGAATTTGACTGTGTTCCTGTGTAAATTACTTCACCACAAGCTGTAGTTGATTTTTAACAACATAAGAACCTGCATGTGTATTCTAAGTTCTTTTTAAATTAGAGGTTTATTTAAAGCTTTATCTGACTTTGTAATTACTTTCTGACATAGCAATAATTTGCGTCATGTCTATCAGAGGTTTTGGACTATTTAACTTTTACCAGATCAAGTAAAACCTCGTTAGGTACACTGTTAAGACATTGCCAAGTTAGAAGGTGAAACATGTAGAAACTAGTGGGAATGTTGGTTAGTGTATTGAAACAGATTTCTAATTGTTAGAAAAGATGTTTTAAAAGAAGAAAATTGATATAAATTAACTCAAAATGTCTGGGAACGCTTCAAATTAAAAAGATGCATAAATATTTTTGTGTGTTATTACAAAACATAACAAACAACATTTATTATAAAACATAAATGTTTTGTAGCTTTTAATATGTAATTATCCTAATACCTTTTAAGCATCAATGTCATAAATTACATGCATTTTAAATGCGAAATGTTATTAGATTGTGATTTCAATAGTGCTTTTTTTAAGAAATGTTTTTTAAGCAATAAATAAAATTTAATTGTGGTCATGTAAATCTATAACGATTAAGGGTATTTATCTACCTAATTTAATTATTTGTAACTAACTGCTCACCTTCAAAAGTTATCGTTGCATATTATAGTAAGTTATTGCCTTATGTGGTCACAAGATACAGCACAAAAATGTGAACATTATAAGTAAATTTTATTCTTTGCATCTAGTGAGACTTAAAATAATATAAAACGATTTATCACCTCTGGTGCATTACTGGCTTATTACAATATACCAAATGGAAACAAATTACTATAAGGTGAGGGGGATATTTGTGCCTCTTTCTTAAAAGGATTTATTTGTGTTCATTATTTTTTAATTTTTATTTATTAATTTTTTTGCTAATTAAAAAATTAACATAAACTTTAATTTTTGCACCTTAATATTATCCAGCATCACTTATTGTCCACACCCTTGGATGTACTGCTTTTTGATGGCAACTGGATCTCCAAATCCAAGTACTCTGGTGATGCACTGCTATTAAAAATGCAGTTTATACTCTACGTCATTAAGCTTAATGTTTATATAACATGATGCTTAAGAAACAGTTACCAGATAGTGATTGGATAAACATTTTAAAATTTGATTTCCCATCTTGCTGTATATTATTATTGTTACTATTTTATTATTTGTTATCTTTGTATTTGATGCATACTTTTCTTCTATTTCAATAATTATATTTTAAAGATTCAGAAGACATCAGGAATCATGCTTATGAACTTAGAAGATCTAATACAGGGAACTTATCTGGCAGGTTTGTTGCTGTAGTATTTCATTCTCTCTTTTTTTAATTCTTTTGGCGATCTTTCACATTTTATTACTACCTTATTTTCTGTCTAGCACACCTGTTGGCCGTTATAGTACTGGTGGCAAACTCAGTCGTACTCATGCTTTTTGCTCCAAAACTGTCATAAGAGCTGAAAAATGTCATCCTTGTGGCCGTATAATCAAGTTTTGCAAACAGGCTCTGAAATGTCAAGATTGTAGAGTAACGTGCCATCCAGAATGTAAAGATCAATGTCCCTTACCTTGTATTCCTACCGTAAATACACCAACCAAAGGCAATATGGTGAGATATTAAATTTATATGTTATATCATGCTAAATTTCTAAAATTAATTTGAAATTTCTTACCTTTAGTGGATTCAAATTCTTTGATACCAAGCTGAAACTGCTTGGAATAGTGAGGAGTTTTAAAAGAACTCTGTTGTAATAAAATGAATACATACATTCCTTGCAAACTTTCCTAGTTTTGGTGATATACATACATGTTCCAACTAGTTTAAATGTCTTCTGCAAATAAAAATTCTAGATTTGCAACTAATATTTTAAAAATGGCTTAGTTCAAATCTTGCATTTTCTCTCCCTCTTATTTTTCTCTTTCTTCCAGATGATAAAACATGATCCCCCTTTTAATTTTTAAATTTAAAAACTGAAGTTCAACTGAAGTTAGAGGAAAATGTCTGTTCCTTAGTCACATTGAGTTTATAACGAATCACATAGTTTTTCAGAACAGATTTCTAATGGATCAAGTTAAGCTACAAGAATTCTCATTTTCTGTTCTAACTTTTGCCAGTCTTATGTGACCACCTTTGGTATTTAAAGATCTTGATCACTTTAATTAAAGGCCAGTCAGGTCTTTTTGAAATGTCACTGGACATCAAACTTATACAGTCAAAAGTCTTTGCGATTCCGGATTATCGGTTTTTCCAGATTATAGATCATCAGTTTAAATCTGGTAAGATAGCATGCAGAAATTATAAAATTAAAAATATGAAACCGTGATTTATGAAATAAAGAGCAATTATGATCTAAAGGGTACCAAAATTTACAAAAAAAAACTTAATATTTATTTGTTTACTTTATTAAACATTTCTTTCAATGCGCGCATGCGTAAAGCATACATTACGCATAGTCAAAATTAGAAAATATCAACCAGAAAACTATTTGATGTGTATTTGTGATATTTATTATGACGAGGAATTTGATTTAAATCATATCAAAGACTGAGTACAATGAGATGAAATATTACATTTAGTAAGAAATTATAAGCCGAATAAAATAAAAACATCTGCCTTGAAGATAAGGATAGTGCTGACAGATCAACTTCAGTTCATTGCCCGCCGCGACATTCCCCTTCCCCGCAGAGCAGCATGAAATTGATAAACATATTTCAGAATGATTAGAGAATCAAAGGATATGCCTTTATCCATTTTTTGCAGAAATTCCACTTTTTGTTCGATGGACATTGAAACATGCTTTCGCTTTGTAGATCCTTTGGTAGCTCCAGAATCGGAAATTCTTTTTGACATAATCAAAATTTCAAGCTTACGGATATAAAATTGCTCTAACAGTCTGCAAAAAATAATAAGCCAGATCCAATTCGAAAATTAAGGAACAACGCAATCTGCAACATTAACTGAAATAAATAATTAAATAATTTTAGCTTAGCTTATACCGTCTGTTATACATTAAACGCGCATGCGTAAACGTATTATGCGTAAAGATATTATGTGCATGCGTTAATGCATTATGCATTGACACATGCGCAGAAAGTTTGTAACTTTGAGATCCGGATTAAAGACTTTTGACTGCATTTCTATTTTAAGAGATATCTTTTTTTATGTATTTAGAACATTGACATAATTGTCCTAGATATTTAAATCTGAATGTTTTTCTTAAATTTTTTTGGATTCTTTGTTTCAAGAAAATCTTTTTCCCTCATCGCTGATTTATCAAATAGATCAAAATTGGATTCTCTAATTTCTTGCAGAAACTTGGGTAAAAGGCAGTAAACCATCAGTATCATTAATCGTATAAGCAAGTGATTTGTTGTTGAATACCCTTTCATAGTAACATGAAACTGTGATAATTTTGTCATAGTTTGAAAATGCTCTTCCTTATGTCTTTGAAAAGCTTTTTCAGTGTAATTATTATTCCTTTCCATTGCCCAATCCAGGAGGGAGTGAAGGGGTATGAATTTCTTGATTATTTTTTGAATAATTGTTAGACATGCCAACTTTTCTGATTTTGACAGAAGATTCCCAGTTTTTGTTGTATTCCTGATAACCTGATTTTCAATATATTTCTTTTACTTCTTTTGTTCCTAAAATTTCTTACAATTTTTATTAGTTCAGCTGAATATTTCATTAATGGCTAATTATAAAATAAACCTAATTTTTATTACGTATCATGAATTTTTGTTTATCTTTATAAATTTGTTTTTTAATTATTATTTCTTTTTTTTTATTATGGATTTATGTTTGCATAGCATTCAATTTGAATATTTTCTAAGTAAGGGGAAATGATACCATTTTTTCCCTCTGCTTCTGTATTATTAACTACTGTAACTGTAATCAAATATTTCTTAAAATAATTTTTCTTCCTTACTCATACTTTTGCATTGTTTATTCCAGTTTATGTTGGCTTTGAATAATCATAAAATAATAAATACAAATTGCTCTAATTTTTTTAAAAGCTAATGTAGAAATTTTCTTGTACTCAAATGTTGTCTTATTGGAAATATAAAAGAATTGCTTAAAAACAAGTTTTGCTTTATTTACTAATCAAATAAAATATCTGCATTAGATTACAATTTTGAGCTGTTATTAGTTGCATAAGTATATATTTTAAGTGAAAAATATTTTTTAATTAAGCTGAAAAAACTTGGTTATTCTTCAGTTTAGTTTTCTTAATTATATAACAAATGATTGAATTATTCTAGGGTACTATAGCTGACTATACATCATCAACAGCACCTATGATACCTTCTCTTATTGTTCATTGTGTCAATGAAATTGAATCCAGAGGTTTCAAAGAAATTGGTTTATACCGTATATCAGGAAGTGAGCGAGAAGTGAAAGAGCTAAAAAAAAACTTTTTAAGTGGAAAGAGCATTCCAAATATTGTAAGTATAAAATGAAAATGTATAGAGGATGTTAAAACATTTTAGAATGATACTGGTATCATTTAATTAATGTTTAAAATTTTAAATACTTATTTTAAGCATTTGATTTGACGGTATATTTTTTGAACAATTAAGTCTACATTATGCTTCCCGTGATAAGATTTTTTGAAAAATTTCCAGTGGTATTGTTTTCTATTACCCTTTAAATACATTCCAGAGTTCATTAATTGTGATGTTTTTAAGCTTAGAAATGATACTTTTCAGTGAGTCAAAGGAAAAATAGTCTATTGTTGAAATGTCATGGGTATTTGCATTAATATGTGCGAAAAAATTATACAAAAACTGTAACAGTCTTCATTTTATCATGGAATGCAATGAGAGTTTTTGAAGTATGATTGGGACTTGATGTAGTTTTACTGTGAGTGTGATAAAGAAATTGAATTTCGTCTGTAAATATTGGATTTAAAATATCGGGTTTTAATGAAAGTTTCCCACCACCACAAATATCGTCTGCGCAAACAGTTCACGTTGGCATGTTTTGTCAAAGGATTTTTAGCATTTGAAAAAAAGAGACTTGCTTTAGAACACTGTGTCATGAAATTTGTAAAAAAATATCTTTATTATTAAGTACAAGGTGTCTGAAATGGAAATATCATGCTACCAGATTAGAACCATCATTTACTTCCAGTTCTGTTGCAAAAAGTCAACTACAGAGTGTCCCCAAATCATGTGTATAGCTTTAGGTACTAATGTTACAATATCTACATGTAACACTGCGAACATCTGATATCAAAATTTCAAGAACAAGGACTATAACATTCAAGAAGCAGAGCGCTCTAGCCCCCCCTACTGATGTTAACAAGGTCCGCCTGCGAGAACTTGTGGAAAAAAATCAATATGCAGCCACTCAAGAGCTTGCTATGTTAGACATTAGTGTCATGTCCATTTAGTCATGCTATGCATTGCATAAACTTGACGTACAAATTCAATCACTGGCTGCCACATGAACTGATTCAAGCAGATAAGGGCAGATGTATATGGGCCTACACTAATGTACTGTATCATCACAAGGACAAAGTTCTGGACCGGATCGTGATGAAAAGTGGATTTACTTCAACAAGACAGGCCAATAAAGAAGTTGATCTGGGCCCAGTTAACCCGTCGACAGTATCGCAAATCGTAATTTGACTAACAAAAAAGATCGTGCTTTGTATCTGATGGGGATTGCTGTGGTATTATCCACAAAGAGTATCTGGAAAAAGGTAAAATCCTCGAAGTAAGATGTACAGCAAGATGCTACTCTGTGTTGATGCTGCTATCAAGGAAAACTTCGAACTGAGTTCTGGCACAAAAGGTAATGTTCCATCAAGGTAATGCAAGACCACATGTGTCTGCATTATCTTGATGGAACACACTGGACTCTGTATCGACTCGAATAGGATCTTTTGCCACATTCACCATATAACACCGACATCGCTCCTTCGAACTTCTACCTTTTTTCACACTTGCAGCTACATCTTGCTGGTGCTATCTTCCATTCTGCACAGGATGTCCAAAATGAGGTTGATCAGTTTTTGGATTTATGGCCACCAAGTTTCTGGTTCGGAGGCTTTAAAAAACTACGAAGACATTTGGGCATAGATTCATGACATTCATAGACAATCATTGATTTGGATGGTTATTACTACCTGCACTAGAGGTACTGCTTTCATGCTTTTTTTTCTAACATTATTAAGAATGTTTTTTGGCAGAAAACTTTTGTTACAACCAGATATTTTCTTGGTAGTATGTTATTTTTAACAATTTTTTCCAATTTTTCTTATTTTAAATTTTCCATTTCAGGGGAAACCTGCAAAAGTCAAATCTTTTATTGAAACTTTCTTTGCATTTTTGGAACCACTTTTCTACATCTTTTGTCTTGTTGCTTTTTATAAATAGACTTGTTGCAGTTATTTATGTTAATTCATTCTTCATAAAAGATCGCAATGTAAATTCTATTTATTTCCAGCTAAGTTTATATATCGCTTTCTAACATTTACTGCAGTGAGTTGCAAGCCTTGGTAAATATGAAAGACCATTCAATTTTTTTAGCCTTCCAGCACACGCACTTGGCAATTTTACATGAGCACACACACATCATATTTTTTACAACATCCATTATTTTACCGTTTTTGGCACGAAAAACAACAGAAATAAGTGAATATTGATAATAAATTTGTTAAGAAATAAAATATTAATCTTATTATTGCAAAATACAAATGATATCACATTCAAATATAAGTAAATTATTTTTAAGTTCTTATGTTAGTGAGATGGAAATGTAATGATGTATTTCATTATAGAAAATTTTAAATTTTATATTTAATAATTATATTTTAAAATCGAAGCTAATTTTAATATTCATCAAAGACAAGTATAGACAATAAAAAAGGAAAACACCTTGGTTGGAAATAAAGTAAATTTAACATTACTTCTGCAAGGAAATTTTCTTCTTACTGGTTACAAAAACGCATTTTAAACTGCAAATTTAGATGTTTTTATATATTTCTAAAAAATAGGAAATAAAAGAAAATAAGGAATGGAAATCGCTATTGTTCTCCTCATCCAAAGGTTTTCTTGTCTTCCTGTTTCTTCATCAGGATAGTTCTTGAAGAATCCAAGCAAAATCAGCTTTGGTTGCACCTATATATAATATATATATATATATTTTTACCATGAAAACCGATATAAATTTACAGAGCCAAATGTTATTCAAATTAAAATAACACAAGGCAATTAATAACACAAAATGACAAAATATTTGAGAAAAAAATATTTTCCGAATTTTAAATCACGACTACGCACGTGTCGTAACTTATGAAGAAGCTGCCACATAGCACAGAAGCCCAGTTAAAAAAAAAGTCAAATGACTTCCTGTTGGCACATTTCATGATGTGGGAAAGGGTAGAAAGGAGGAATAGAAATGACCTTCAGACGTCTCAGCTTCGATATGCGGAAAATGAGCATTAAAATCTGATTTTGTCGTAAATTTTGCGCATACGCGCATGCTGGAAGTTTAATCTGTAACTGTAATTGTTATTTATTATTCTGCTTATTACTACTGATGTATTGAAGATTTTCTAATGGATTTCTTCACTGATCACTTTTTTTAAAATTTTTTTTATTTTTTATTATTACCAAAAAAACTCCACTTTAGAAATATGAAAAGCTGTGCATCTCACTCTTTTTGTATTCAAATAGGAAAAACTACGAAGACATTTGTCTCTCTTCCCCCTCCCATGTGAAGTAAAGATTGACAATTTTCCCCTTTCCTGTTAATAATGTTGCTTATTTTATGCTACCATGCATTTCACAATTTTTTTTAAGAATGGATACTCTTTAGATAATACGAAAACATATCCTTTCTCTGTTCCATAAATTTTTACAAAAAAGAAATTGTTTTATTTGATTGTAGTTTTTATCTGAATATTTATCACAAAGGCAAATTCTTGGGGAGAGTGGAGAAAGATCTAATTTTAGTTCAAATTTTCATCAATGAATACAAATCGAAATTAAAAAAAAGTGTGCAACTGAGAGTTCATGATTGGCTGCTGTATTATTATAGTGGTGTTCATGAATCATTTCATTGCATCTATTTAATACAATACTCATGCTTCTAAAGAAGTGTCTTTTGGTTATGGGAACAATGAATCAACTTTATAAGCTTTGTGAAAAGTTTGAACACCCATTCATCTACACAACCAATTAAAAAAATCTGAGGTACAATGAATGTTACTCTACTTACAGAGCTAATATAATGTTTTGAAGAAATTGTTAACTTGAAAGGTTGTCTTTTCAGCAGCGTGCATTGGAGTTTTCAAAGGACAGTGTAATGGAATCAAATGTAAGTGTGCAACAGTGTAATTTTCAAAGGAATGCAACATTCCGTATGGATATTTTAGCAGCACAGTCAGCAAACAATATAAGTAATGAATGAGAAGTTACAAGGAATGCAAACATACCTAACACAAATATGTTCTACCTCATGCAAGTGTACAAACTGCATAAACTTTACATGTATAAACCTTACACTGTAGCAAAATTGATTATACCTGTACAAATTGCAATCTTTGCTCAAGCTGAATTTCACAGAGAAAACCTAATTTTTCTTTGCATCGATAGTTAATGTGTTATATAAGCTAGTGACAATAAAAAACATGCAGTGTAGCTATTAAATGTGCCATAAATCATTGAATGGTGTGAATTTATTGAATAGTTTATGCTAGGGTCTTTTTCTTTTGAGAAACAATGTGAAATGAGTGAATCGCAAGTTCGCATTTTAACTGATGAATGTTATCGTAAAATGTTAAAGACTGTGTTGTGGCTTTAAGATAAAAATATTAGAAGAGTATATTTTACTGTGTTTCCAAGATGAAAATTTTAAGTCAGTCATGTTTATGCAAGATGGAATGATTCACATAACATCATCTGTATAGCAGTTTCTGATTAATATGTTTGGTCAGAAACTGTACTTGCAAAAATGCATGGCCCATGCTTAACTTCTATGATTTTTGTTTATGTAAAATTTCTGTTATGAAATGTGTGTTATGTTTATTATATAAAATATTTCGTGTATACCAGAAATTTACCTTGTCTCATCTAATAGATACCATCAACCTTGATGTGCGAGTGGTGGGTACATTGAACATTTTTGCTATTGTAATTCTCTTGTAAATACATAAATGTATGATATTAAATTCTGACATTCTGTTGTGGTGTGATATTAATAGTGTCATCTGTTAGTAAAAGTATTAAATAACCCTTAAACACTTATTATTATGCCCTAAAAAAAGGAGGATTTTCTATTATAATGATTTGTTGATATTTTAAGAAATATTCAAATTTATGGCGTAAAATAAATATATATATTAATAGATTATACGTTCAGAAGAGGTAGAGTTAGTACTACTATATTTAAAAGCTATTTTAAATTTAGAATTTAGGTACAATAAAATTGCAGCAGGAAAAATTTTAAATTAAAATTATTAAAAAAAAAACTATTATTGCTGATTCTATGGGAAAAAAGCTGAGTTTTTAAGAGGTATTAGTCTTTCTTAATAAAATCACTAATAATAGAAGATCTGATCGCAATGCTCTTAAATTAAGAGGAAAAAATAGACAAGAGATAAAAATTACATTGTACTTAAAAAGCTTGTAATATTTTAGTCAAACTGAGTTGTTGGAAAGCTCCTTCCAGAATTAATGAAAAATAAATTAACTTTTAACACAGCTTTTAATTTCTAAATAAAATATTGGATATTAATGCAAAATATTAAATACTGCAAAAAAATTTTTAATCTTTAATAACTTTTTTTCTATATAACAAGTTACTTTTTTGATTTTCTTATTGACTGTTGAAAATTATACTTTAGACTCACCTAATATTTTAGACTGCAGCATATATTTATTCTCTTTGTAGAATCAGGCTGATATCCATGCTGTGTGTGGAACAGTAAAAGAATTTCTTAGATCTTTAAGTGAACCTTTAATACCAAGATCTACATGGCAAACGTTTGTTGAAGCAGCAGGTAGGTTTATTCATTTATTTTATATAATTTAATCATTTTTGTATATAAAATAAAAATTTCACTAATTTATTTTCTTTTTTAAAAACATAGTCTTGAATTTGATCATTTTTCAGAAATAAAGGATGATACTATCAGTTTAAATGCTTTATACAATGCTGTGTGTGATCTGCCTCAGCCAAACAAAGATACGCTTGCATTTCTTGTATTACACTTGCAAAGGTATTTTTTTTTTTTTTTTCTTCCTTCCAATTTTCAGTTTGTTTCCTAAATTACTATTATTATTATTATTTAATTTTAACTTTCTTTTTTCAGAGTTGCAGAAAGCCCTGAATGCAAAATGCCACTGGAGAATATAGCCAAAATTTTTGGCCCCACTATAGTGGGATATTCAACAGCTGAACCTGCAGCTGATTGTAATATGTTAACAGAAACAACATATCAGGTCAAGGTAGTATTTTCTGTAATTATGACTTTCAAATCTTAGACATAAGTATTTCTAGATCGTGAACTATATTTATATATATGTGCATGTATATAAAAATATACTTAATGATCAATTACTGAAACTTTTCACTAACTTTGTTAAAACCTGCTTGTATGCTAAAATTTTGTATTGGAAGAAAATGTGCAGAAACCTATTTTTAGTGGTAGTCAAGTACTGTAACAGAAAATGAAAAATACTGAAAAAATAAAATACTAAATCACTTGAAAATAACTCATTTCAGACTATTATCTTTATACGGGAAAACATTTCCTTACAAAGTTTAAAAATTAAGAATATAATTACTCAACGAAAAGCAGGTATGCTGTAAAAGCGAAACATCCGTTCTGATGAGTGGCTTTCTGTCTTTAAGTGAGCAGCTGGAGGCAACAACCAAGCTTCTGTTATGAGTCATACTGATTATTATTTTATTTCTCAATTTATGCTAGACATAAAATCTGCATAAAACTCTTGGACTGAGAATTGAATGATGAAATGAAGCTTAAAGACTCTATATAAAGCTGTTAGTAAAATTTAATAAAAAGTCGCTAATTTTCTGTAAAGTATAAATGTTTTAAGAAATTTTAAAATTTAATGCTAATAACTTGAAAGAAGAAATTAGAAGTTGATTTTATTCTTAAATTTGTTTTATAATTTAAGTACAGTAGAATTCTAATTATCCAAACCAATTGGGTCCAGACCCCCATATGGATAATAAAAAATTTGGATACTAGGATATTTTCTGAAGGAAGGGTCTGTGTACACTTTAATTACTGTATGTACTTATGTTGAAAATGGGAGAAAAAAAACTGTTTTTAAAGAAAAAGATATTTTAATTAATTTTAAATGAAAAGGCAATACTTTTATGTACATATTATATAGTGTACTGTACAGTACTTACAAGTGCTGAAAATTGTTGCTTGCTGAACATTTTGGTCAAAGTAAGCTGTTTGACTGTCTTCATCTGTTTTTGGGCAGCCATGTCATGCATCCACTTGATAATGAGAAGTTGCATTTGGTCGCACTCGGGCTGATGCTCCATCGAATCCTTATCATTTAAGGTCAAGTCCTAAATTATAAAGGAAAACACGGGGATGCAAGAAACAAGGGGGACTGTGTGCATCAGAGTTAGGGGAAAATGTGGAGGCTGTTTAAATGTCTTATTTCTGTGCATTCAGTTTTATAGACAGAAAAATGTAGAGAAACTGAATGCAGTATGAGACTGTGTTTCATCATCCCAATAATGTTTGCACTATGCCTACACTAGCTTCTCAGAGGGAAAAACAATAGCACACATTAACAGAATCATTATTTTGCCAATTGCAGTACGTTTCTTATTTTTTTTCTTAAATTCTGAAAGCGATTCATACAGTCGGAGTTCGGATAATTGGAGTTGTACTGTATTAAATTAGGTTTCATAATAATGCATCTCACTCGCAGATTTGTTTTTTATTCTTACAAATTACAAAAATGATATTAAAAAACTGAAGTTTGGGTGTAGATAATTGCTTTAGTTTATTCAGTTATCATTTGCTGATAGGTACTCAATTTTTCATTGATGGTCCTTAAAAGTACTTAATTTCCACATGCAGAAATGTTTACGAACCCTGTTATAATTATGTAGTTATTAAGATTTTATTAATTCATGTCTTTGTATGAACTAATATGTCATTGGTAAACATCAAATGCTACTCACGGGGTTCGTACGGTCCTTAAAAGTCCTTAAATTTTTCAAAACCGATTTTGGGTCCTTAAAAGTCCTTAATTTTGGTCAAAATGAATAAACAGTCCTTAATTTTGCTCATTTGACATTTCTTATCATTTCTAATGATTGCCATTGTAAGTGTGAAAAGCGATTTCTCATGAATATGGAATTAAAATTACACGGCTCTTAACCAATCTGTTGGCGGATTTGAGTTGCAAACAATAAAAAAACAATTAGCTACCCTAGGACGAAAGCATCGGGTGTCTGGTTGGCTATTCACCCAATCTTTCGAAACAAGTGTTATCGATAAATTTATGCAGATTGTGATGAAAGCATGAAGCCAGAAGTTCTTCAAGAAGCGAAAGTAATGATAAAGGTGCTCGAGGAAAAAAAGGGGGGGGGGTTCAGAAAATATTTGCCAAAATTAGAACAATCCCAACCTGGAAGGCCACAACCCCTCCGATGCCAATAGGAACGAGATGCCTGGAAATTGCATTTTCAATCAACTGTGGCTTCATCAAGCCGACTACAAAGACTGGATATTGATGGATGACAATCCTTATAAAGCTAAATGTGGTCTTTGTCTGAAACAAATTGAAATTTCTAGAATAGGAAGATCAGTGCTGAAAATTCACGTGGAAGCTAAGTTTCGTTTTATCATTTCAATCTGTTTTTACACGGTTTTGCTTACCTTAATTTCTGTGTTTGTTTGAATTAAGCCATAAATTAATTTTTGATCACCTTCTACGGAGTTTATTCTCTTTTGCGTATATATGTAAGAGATATCGGAATTATGAGTTTATTTCTGCAGAGGGTCTGTTATCGATTTCGCGGAAAATCTGTTGGCTCCATTTCGATTTTAGGTCGCCAAGGGCAAATTCGGTAACGCTAGCCAAATAAAAGTGAAGTTCGGAAATACGTTTTGAAGCTTCAATAGACAATTAAGTATTTGGTTTAATCCTATGCACAAGGTATCCGTTGCATAAGAGATTTGGCGACTTTATGATTAGCAGTAAAACGGGACATATACGATGAGTAGTTAAACGGGTCATTTTGGTGTTGGCGATAATTTTCAAAATTGCGCCAAGGCTGCACCGTACTAGAATTTTACCAAGTATTTTTATAAAAGGAATACTGCTTTCAGAGAATGTTATTGAATTTTAATATCACATCAGTTATCCAAATAGTTGGTCGATATAAAATTTCATTGTGATAATGATTGAAATTATCTTTTGTTATTAAGCTAATTTCACCTATTTATAACTAGAAATTAAAATAAAAGCTAAATCCTGAATAAAAAGTCAGTGTTGAAATGATAAGGAAAAAATAAAAGAAACGGAAGATTAATAAATTAAAAGGAAATGACGAATAAGCGGAACGGTTGCTACACGGAGAAAACGTGTTCATGGTATTGCCAATATAGCATTCTTATGGCAATTTTAGTGATGTAACGGAATCTCTGCAAGAATGCTTGCCTAGAATATTTCGTGATGTCGCAATTTTTTATCGATATAGTACATTTTTTAAGTGTTATAATATAATGCGTAAGAAAAATTCATACATTTTTGTTTAACAATAAAACCAATTATTGCAGAATTTTTATCTTTGCTCCACCATCTGATAGATAAAGAAATAATGTTTTAATTAAAATTTTCTGCTGTGAAGTTCTGCTTTTACCGATGGTTGCAAAATGTCCCAGCAGTTGAAAGAGCCATTAAAATATGGGATGACTTGCTACTATATGTTAAAAAAGTTGAAATGGGGCAGTTTAAATAAAATTCATTGAAATCCTTCTCAAATATTTTGGAGGCAACTAAGGATAAAACATTTCTTATAAAATTAAATTTTTTCTCTCTCTGTCAAAAATATTATTTTGAATATTATCAAAGCGATAAACCACTTATTCCCTTTTTTGCTGAAGATATCTTAAAACTTGTAAATGATTGCTTTTAGCACTTTAAAATGTTGAAACTAGAATATTCAAAAATAACTAAAGCAGAAAATCTTTATAAATTTAATTTTAATGATCCAAATTGTTATAATTATAAAAGTAAAGTTTATTTGGGATTCATTGCTGAGCAGTTAATGAATGATAAATGCCGCAAGAAGGACATTTTACAAGCTGCAAGTTTTGCATTGAAACAAGAAGGTCAACAATGTGTCTTAACGATGGTACAACACTTAATGGCTTAATGGTCCAATAAATTATTCTCTTATTCGAAATGCATCTTGTATAGACCCACAGTTGATGGCTTAAAGTCCAGAAAAAGCCCAGAACAAAATGAAAATAGTTCTAACCGTATTAACGCGGAATAAACATGTTTTACAAGATAATTGTGATGAAATTCTGCTGCAGTTTGGAGAGATTCTTGACAAAGTAGTTAAGACAAATTTACATGAATTTTCTACTTTTGATTCTCAAAATTTTTTTCTTGACACATTTCTCACTTCTTATTTTCATGATTTCCACTATTCTAAAGTATGGAAAATAGTGAAAATGATTCTTATCTTGTCACATGGACAGGCCTCTGTGGAAAAGGGCTTCTCTGTAAATAAAGCAGTTGAAATTGAAAATTTAAGTGACTCATCATACATTCTCAATGCACAGTATTTGATTAAATAAAATTTTCTGGAGGTATTCTTAATCGAAATTAATAAAGAAATGAGATCAGCAGCAGCTTCGATAGATACTTTAAGCAGATGAAGCCGAGACCAGCAGAAAACATTGATTTGTTATCAAAGCAAATGAACTTAGAAGAATAGTTAAAGAAAGGAAATAGACATAAATAATTAGATGTTAAAATATCTGAAAAAATTCAGATTTTAAAAAAGCATAAATGTTTTGTATCTTTTTTGCATAGTTTATTATTCATATCTTCAAAAAACCAAGAAATAAATCGTATGTTTACAAATCTGTTATTTTAATCTGCAAAATATTCTTACATTGCAATTATAAGAGTAGTTGACTGTGTTTAAATAAATATCAAATAAGTTGAATAATAATCATGTAAATCTCTAAAATATCTGTGGCTGTTATTAGTGTGAAAAACACTTATACAGTCAAAAGTCGTTAATTCGGACACCCATAATTCGGAATGATCTATAATCCGGACCTCAAAGCTAAAAATTTTCTGCGCATGCTCCGCGTTGACACTGCGCATAGGCGTTTACGGGGCGCGTAAGACCTCTTACGACTGCGCATTGCATGTGCGCAAGCGCAGAATACGTTTTTCACGAGCGCATTTTATGTATAACGGACGTGTAAGCTAAAATTATATATTATCCATTTCAGTTAATGTTGATGATTGCGTTGTTCCTTAATTTTCGAATTGATCCGGCTTATTATTTTTGCAGACTGTAAGAGCAATACTAAAAGTAAACTTGAACTTTTGATTATGTCAAATAGAATTTTTGATTCGGAGCTCCCAAAGGATCGTACAAAACGAAAGTATGTTTCGATGTCCATCAAAACAAAAAGTGGAATTGCTGCAAAAATGGATAAAGACATGAAGAATTGACAGAGGGTTAGTGAAAACGAAAAAATTCGATTGACAAGTAGTCGGTATTCTCGGCACAGAATTAACGGGACTTCAACAGCGGAACTTTGTAAGTGAACAAAAAATTATGTTGTTTATAGAATTAAAGAGAAAGTATTATCACATAAAATGAAACAACTTACATTGAAAGAAATGTTTAATAAGTAAACAAATAAAATTAAGCTTTTTTTTTTAAATTTTGATACCTTTAGATCATAATTGTTCCTTATTTCATAAATTCGGTTTCAATTTTTTAATTTAGAATTTCTGCATGCCATCCTACGCGATTAAACTGATGATCGATAATCCGGAATCGCCGAAGTCCGATGATTCAGGATTAACGACTTTTGACTGTACATGTTTTTCAAGAAATTATGTCTTAATTAAATTTTATCTACTTCATAACTTTAGGGATTAGTTTAATTTTCAAAATTGTTTTATGTTAAGTATTAAATTGAATTTAATAATAGTAAATAATACATACTTCTGTTAGTTTCTTAAATAAATAACTGCTTTTTTTTTTTTTTTTTCCCTTGATAGGTCCTTAATTTTTTCTTTGATGGTCCTTAAAAGTCCTTAATTTTCATGTAAGGAAATGTTACGAACCCTGTACTGAGATTTTATGCAAAGTACTTTATGCTTAGAATTTAAATATGCATTTAATCTTCATTGTGCTCCCCCTCAGGTAATGCACCGTCTTTTGATAATACCAGCTGATTCATGGCGAAATTTGTTGAATGTAGATCAAGATGTTTTTACTCCTACCCCAAAGTCACCAGAGCCCATTCCAGGTGATATAGCTTTATACTTTTCAATTAAAATTTAGAAATGTATTATTGTTTAATAGCAAACCATATAGCCACAAATTCTTCCATTCCCCCCCCCCCCCCCCCAATTTTTCTTTGCATTTTCTAGTAGATCACCAAATCTCCGGGTTTATAATTTTTAGCCTTTTTATTAAGGCTAAAAATAATTAAAATATTTTATTAAAGCTTACAATCCATAAACGAAATGAATTTAATTAATGAAAATTGAATTGTGCAAATTTCCATCTAAATTTTCTATATAAAGCTTATTTATATATTTTATCCTATATGTATACAATATTAATTTATATATACACTAAACTGAAAAGTTTTCCATGACTTTGATAACTGTCCGTTATTAAAAAGAATTCTATTTCCTGAGAAGACTTGTTATAAGCAATCCCCTTGTATATTTTAAAAGATTTTAATGTTCACTTCCAAGACACTAAAAATTTGAATGTGCTTGCATGGCTCATAGAACAGCTGAACTGCAATATATCTGATCGTGATGTTATGATTCAAGAATTGATTGCACTGAAAGAAGATGTTCAATCAAATTATTCAGAACACACCGGTATGCTAAGTTTTAAAATTTAAAAATCATTGAAGAGAAATAATTCAGAATAAAAGAAGATACTAATAACCAACATTATTGATTTCACCCTCTTCTTATGTAGTGAAAGCAGGCTTTAGTTAAATGAATAATTAATTACTGAAAGCAAAAAACAGGTTGAATATTTTTCAGTAAAGTAATTTAAGAATTAAATTAAGGAATATTATGCCAATTATTTAAAAAAAAACGCTTTAATACATCCACAACCACCATATTAATCATAATCCAGTGCAGTTGAAATTTGTGATTTTTGTTTATATTGGCAAAATTGACAATAATAATACATAAAAAAAAGAATTTTCTTTCAAAACTTTTACTTAAATTCTTAATCTTTTTGTTATTTGTATGCAACTGTTTGTTTTATGAGTATGTTGCATATATTATAGAGAAAAATGTACAATTTTTTATTTGTTTTAATTTACTGTACATATTGAACTAGTGAAATTTAACTTGCAGCATTATATATAAAATAAAATTTCATTTTAATGAATGAAGTTGTTTTAATAATTGTATAATGAAATTAACATGAAGTAAAGTAAGTAGTATGCTGATGTATGAGGATTTTGTTTACTCCAAATAATGTTATAAATCACATGAATAAATAAACTTAATTCTTTTGCATTAGAAATTTCTGTAACTTTGAACGAAGTAGCTTAATTTTTTTTATTTATGAGATTACGAAATTCATGAATATTTTTTGCAAATCACTGAAGTATATTTACAGTTTTATAATGTTTAAAGCATGATATTATAAAACTTCTTTAGAAATATCTTTACTGCTTTTTAACTACCTCTAAATTAAAATAATTATGAAATTCCATAAAAAAAGTTTATGAATTTTGTTTTTTCCATCTATATTAAAAAATTTCATGGAAAAAAATATTACCATGCATTTTTTGTCACATGGCTTTTAAAAATCATCAGTGTTTAATTTTAGTTTATGGCATTTAATTTTATTGCTTAGTATTTTGAATATGTGAATTGGTAAATAAGATTTTAAAAATTTGCAGCACCATCCATAGTAGTAAGAGGAGGCAGGCTTGGTCCTATTTACTATCCATCTAGTCAAAATTCCAGAAATGTCCAAGTTGGAAGAACACCTCTTACACCAAGGTAATTCATATTTTTAACAGTTAATAAATACCCAATTTATTTTAGGTTATTTATTGTTAATATGGCTATAAATTCATTTTCCTTCATTAATAAAAAACTTATTAACTTTATTTACTCATCCTTTAATTCATTGACTATTAGAATAAAAATTAATTATGATAAGGAATGAATTATTTTGTAAAGTTGTGTTGAATTATTTTGTTAGTTCTTGTTGAATTGATTATGGCATAGCCTGTAAGAACTGTCTCTTAAGAAGAAGAATCATTAACAATGGCTGTTTCGATCAAAATTGAATTATATTCATGTTATATTCGGATAAAACCATGAAAATGCTAGTGCAGCTAGCTGGTTTGCTAGGATTTGAACATGGGTCACTGATAGGCTAAAAGCAGCATTTCCCTAAGCTTAGAACATTGCTGATGTTGACTTACAACCACAGGGCAAGAATTAAAATAAAGCAAGAAAAAATGATATAACATCTCAAAAAGACAAAATTGGCCTTCTTACCTTGCTCTTAAAATTATTTAAAATGGCTTTAGCCTTTTGCTATACATGTTGCTTGCACATTTAAAATGCCAGAACCAAAGCTGAATTTAGAATTTTGTTAATTCCAATGTTACTTTAAATTTTGCTTTATATTTTATATTAGCTTAAATTCTATAAGTAGTTTTGGCTTTTCTGTAAAGCACAAGCTATGCATCTGTATTAAGTTACAGTAAAAAAAAAGGTTTAATTTAAATCTTCTTCTGAGTTATATTTGTTTTACCAAGATTGGGTGATAATTCACTTGACAATCTACAAACAGAATCTGAATCTGTGTTAGAAGTCAGGTTTCCATATAAAGGGATGAAAAAGAATGACATTTATATCTGAAATTAATATGTTTATTGCAATGTGGTGTACATACCTGGAAAGAATAACTCAAAAGATTTTAGTAAACTTCTGTGTGACTGCCATTTGCAGCTTGGTCTGTGTTTAAACATTACGCTGTTTCATCCCATATCTTCAAAAGCATTACTAGTGTGACCTAGTCCTATTGCTTCCATACTCTGGGCACACAAATCTTTTTTAGGAAAGTCAAATAAACTGCAGTCCAGTCTTTTTGATAAATAAACTTTAATTCTTGTTTCCAGCTGTATACAGTTCAATAAACATTGATTTCAGCTATATCTATATTGTTTTTTTAATGATTTCTTTCCTAGACATCCTGTATTTTTTAGTGAACTGTTATATTTTAGATTTTTAAAAGTTAAAGCTGAATTATATTAGCTTTTGTCTGAACTTACAGTATATCTAGTAATAAAAGTAATGTATGATATCCCTCCCCCTGAAAAATAAATTTTTACTCTTTGACATATTTATATGGAAATAAATTCAAAACTAATAAAAATCATATATATTCATATTTGAAGGAATACAAGACATGGTTCCAGTTCCAAATCTGGGAAAAGGCAGTTTTTTTCATCTCCTTTACTTAAATAACTTCTGTGGAATTAACATAGATTGTTAGACAACTGATGTGTACTGAAGGTGCATGAAGTTTATCATTTCCATGGGTTTTGTAAAAAAATGATTGTATATCTATTATTTTTACATATATATTTTTACATACATATATGCCTCAATATTAATGGTCCAAAAGTAATTTATCTAAGCTCGCAAAAAAAATTGTATTTTTTAACAAATGTAATTTTTAAATAAAAGCTTATTGTATATGTGTATATTTATTTCAAATTCATGAACTCGACTCAATTTAATGCATATTAAAAATTCTCTTATAGATTTCTTTTCTGTTATTATGACTTTTATTAAATTTTGGTATTGTTTAAATAAATAAAAGTCTTATATATATATAAACCTCTAAAACAGTATCATTCACATGCATATACATACATATACAGGAAACAATAGATATTATATCTGTAAAGGTGAATTTTTCTTTTATGGTATAATTCTTAAGCCATCTGCTTTATATACTGTTCATAGTTTCACTAAATAAAGTGATTTAGGAAAATGCTTCTGTGAAGCATTTGAAACTATTATATACAGAATAAGGCACAAAAATTCTTATTTTGCTACTAAAACATGGTATAATTAAACCCAAGACTTGAATCATATCTGATATCAAAATACATCTGTATTATGCAGCTGAGCATAAAAACTTGAATCTCAGTTTTATTGTTGATTGTTTAGTTTTTTTAATTGCAAATGTAATTTTTAAAGTTTGCAAAAGGTGTATAAGGTATTTCTCCCGCCTTCTTAGCATGCCTTTGTAGTGTAGTGGTCTTCACACTGGGTGCATATTCCAAAGGTCCATGGTTCGATTCCCGGCGAGGGCATTATTCATTTTTCATCTTTCCTGCTTCCAAAAATACCTAATTCTACAGGTGTTTACAAAGAGAGCACGTGATGATTCATAGATTCATAGTTTCTGTACAATTTCAGTGAATATATTTACAAATACCTATAAATGAGTAAGAAGATCATGACAAAATTCTAAATAATATTCATAAATTTCTTCATTTGTTTTAATCTATGGTAATATCCTTGATAAAGCATAAGCATTGTAAATGGGAAATTTTCATTTTGAATGCAGCTCCATCAATATTATTTTGAAAGGAAATTATGCCTGAAAAATATTTTGAACTGAATATTGTGAAAAATTATCTAATATAATAATTTTAAAGAGTTTATTTGTTTTGTATTCACTAAACAATTCATGCAGACTTAAAAATTAAGACTGCATTACGCTGTATGCTAACTCTTGAAATCAATGTTTTCGTGTTTGATGCACTAATGATTTAAATCATGACAGATCAGGGACTGTAAAAAAACTTCAAAGTGATTAATGGCTTTTTAATACAGAAGTTTGATTTATAGTATTGGGCAGTGTGTCTTAAATTGGTAGCAAAGCAAAATGTTGGGTTGCAAAAATTTTATTCAGATACACGAATTTTAAGAAGCATTAGTTGCAGTCTCTTAATTATTTTTAATTTAATGTATTACTTTTTTTGTACAGCACAATTATAAAACAATACTGGCCAAGTTGAACTGTAAATTAAATTTGCATGCTTTACATTACATAAATTTACATCACATAAATAACACTAAGGGCATTGTAATAATGGTCTTATTACAGTTTTAGCATATACTATTTCAAAATTTATGTATGCCCCAAACAATCTGTACGTAATGTCCTGCACTGCACAGGCATGCCGAGAATAAGGTTGGAGTGCAGGCATAACGCTTTTCCAGTGTACAATTATAAAACATAATACTGGCCAAGTTGAACTGTAAATTAAATTTACATACTGAAAAATACCACTAAGGTCATTGCAATAATGGTCTTATTACAGTTTTAGCATACACTATTTCAAAATTTATGTATGCCCCAAACATTCTGTACATAATGTCCTGCACCACACAGGCATGGCGAGAATAAGGTTGGAGTGCAGGCATAACGCTTTTCCAGTATAGTTATTTCCTTATAATATGGCTCCATATTATATATGTTATATCTTATAATATGGTTAGTTTCATATAAGTTATCAGAATTAAAGTATTCTCTAAATGCACTGTGCGTAATGTGCTGCACCACACAAGCATGCTAACAATAAGTTTTGGGCTGCTGTGACTAGTGTAGTGATAACACTTTTCCAGTATAGTTCAGTCGTTCTGTTTCATCACAATAAGTGTGTGCATTAAAAAAAATACAATATTTTATTTTACTGGTTACTCAATTAAGCTTAGTATTTATTTGAATAATTATTATGATTTATTTTATTTATGTGTGAGGATTTTTTTTTTTTTTTTTTAAATCCATGAATAAAGACTGAACTTGAGTAACAGCTAATGATGCAGATGGCAATGCCACAAAGCCTCTTCAAGTAGGATTTATTAATCAGAAAGAGGCACTAGAGATATAAAACAGAAAAATATAATGACGCATTTCTCAGATTTGGCTTAATTTTGAACAACTGTGATGGTAATGAACAATTTTTTGTCTAATTTACAATAACATTTTAGCTATGGAGAGAGGGAAACCACCAATATTAAAAACCCATATTGAAACTAAGCTTCTTTCCTACATCAGTCAACTAAATGACTATTTCAAACGACTGATAAAATCTACATATAAAGAAAAACAATAATTTGAGAAATTTATGACATGGAAAAAATTATTTATTCATTTGAAGCTTCGTATCTGATAATCAAAAATAAAAATCTATGTACCGTTGGAGAACATCTTCCATTACCTTTTGTCAATAAAATGGTAGAAATTTCGAATGGTACAGTACAATGTCTTTAAATCCGGACGTCCATAATTCGGACCTCAAAGCTACAAACTTTCTGCACATGCGTACAATACCATTATGCATGCGCTGTAATATCTTGTTATTTAAAAAATAACTATATTAATTATTGAAGTGGCAAAGCCATATTTTTATGAGGTTAACCGTTGCTCAGCAATGTAAGAAATTATTTTAAGATGAGAATTCTGAAGTTTGATCAGCTAGTAGATGTATGAAAATTTTGCCACTTAAGAGTTGTATACAAATTATCTATCTCCGTAAACTAAAAATAAAATTTATGTTTTATTAAGAAGATTATCTGTTTTCTCAATTACTGCAAAATACGTTACAGCGCATATATATGTTTACACATGCGCATAATACGTTTACGCATGCGCGTTTAATGTATTACGCACGGTATAAGCTACGTTAGAATTATCGAAGGCGTTTCGGTTAATGTTGCAGATTGTGCTGTTGCTTGCTCATCTAATTGGATCCGGCGGCTTATTATTTTTTGCAGACGGTTAGAGCAGTTTTGTAAAAAGTAAGCTTGAAGTTTCCATTATGTCAAAAAGAGTTTCTAATTCTGGAGCTGCTAAAGGATCTACAAGCGAAAGCATGTTGATGTCCATCAATAAAAAGGAATTGCTGCAAAAAGGATAAGGCATGAAGAAAGTGACAGAGAGTTAGTGAAAATGAAAAATTTCGATTACAAGTTGTCGGTAGTCTCGTTACAGCATAAGGACAGCAGAATTTGTAACTGAACAAGAAAGTATGGCTCTTTATAGAATAAAGAAAAGTATTAGCACAAAAATGAAGCAACTTAAAAACTTTACTTGAAAGAAATGTTTAATAAAAAACAAAAAATATTACGCTTTTTTTTTTTTGTTTGGTAAATTTTGTACTTTTAGATCAGAATTGCGCTTATTCAAAAACGATTAGATTTTATTTTATAATCGCATTCCATCGACCAGAATTTATTGATGAGGATTCCGGAATCGCCGAAGTCCCGACGAGTCCAGATTAAAGACTTTGTACTGTACTTCACAAAAGTAAATATGTGATAAAATTCGAAAATTCTTTGTCAAACCACAGTGTTACCAATAGAATTTCTGAAATTAGGAACAAACAATTTATTACTGAACTCAAAAAGAGCCTAAAATTTATAATTAATTTGGGTCAAAACATTTGGCTGGTATTTCAAAATATTTGTTATAAGTATATGCGAGATATATTTTTAGGAGAACTTCAACGAAGAAATGTTATTTAGTTGTTCTTTGGAAGAACATATAAGAGAAGAAGGCATGTATAGTATAGTAAAGTTTATGTACTGAATATTTAGAATGCAGGAATTGCATTAAAGTATGTTAAGATGGTGCAAAAGAGATAAGCAAAAATATTGGTTTTAAATCATTTGTTAAAGTTTCTAGTAATGATCATGAAATAACTTTTGCTCAAGGCCTGATCCACAGAAATTTCCTTGAGCAAAAAAGAAAATTAGCTATGGAATTGAATTGCATGCTATCAAAATCAATAAATTTTATTAAAAGCTGTGCTTACCAACCATTTATTTTCAAAATCTTTGTAAATCTTATACACTCTGAATACAAAAATATATTAATGCATCTGGAAGTAAGATGGATGTCAAGAGCGTGAAGTTTAATGTTATTGGAATTAAAAGACAAAATTATTATACAGTGTGTTTAAAAAAGTATATATGTACTTCAAATGCATATATTTATATTAACTGTGGAGTATATAGTAGACATACGAATATGAAACTTTACACACAAATGTACGAAAACCTCTCAAGTTCAGATTATAGATGTTCAATATGTCCTTCATCAGTGACACGAACTGTATCACATCGATACTCAAATTCCTCCCATACTCGGGCAAGCACATCCATCATCACTGATGTTATGACAGTACAGATTTGGTTCTTCACCTCTTCCAGGTTCTGTGGGAGTGGTGGGTACATAAACATTATCTTTAATGAAACCCCACAGGAAGAAGTCACAGGGTGTCAAATCCAGTGACCGTGGAGGCCAGCTGAGACATACTCAAGTCGCCAGCTTCTTGACGACCAATGGTTCGCTAGAGTTTCAGATAATCATGCACTTGGCGACACCAGTGAGGGGGTGCCCTGTCTTGTTGAAAAATGAAGTGTCTTCATGCACCTCGGAAACACCAGTTTTTTAACATGCGAGATACTGCTGAACGTTAACCGGTTTTCATCAAAGAAAATGGGGCAGAAAAACATGATCAGATATCTCACAAAACACATTATTTTGTAGAATCTCGTTCATTTCAATGGCCGCATGTGTTTCTGTACCCCAATCGAACATTGTGTTTGTTTACAGACCACTACATCAAAGTCGTTCATCACTGAACACGATGTGTTAGAGAAAGGTTATCATTGTCATAGTATCAATAATCTCGTTACAAAACGCCAAGACATTTGTTTGTCATCAGACGCAGCTGTAACAAATGTAACTCTAGGTCTTTCATAACCAAATGACTTTCAAAAGATGCAATTGTCGTGCAGGCAGTGTTACTTCACTTCTCAAATTTTGATTTGAACCCACCATTTGAGGATCAATGGTACCTCAACTTGAAACTTCTTTGCAACTGTAATCACGGAGTTGCACTTTGCAAACTCGAGAACACAAAATGGTTTCTGCTGCAGAGTAGCCATTTTAAACATGTGACGGTTACCACTCAAAATGGCTATTAATATAAACTAGACGATGTATTCGTTTAACCTTCAAACAAATTTATATTCTTCAAAATAATCACCAGATGAGTCTTTTTTCCAGTGTTTGTTCAGGTTATCGAAACACTATTTATAGGTGTTACTCAGTAACATTTCATTTAATATACATTTTCAAATCTATCCTTTTGTGATCATCCTAAGCTTTAGGGGGGGGCATTACTTAACAATAATTTGGGAAAATAAGGTGGGTGATTTATCATTGCAATTAAATGCTTAACAAGATATTGCACAGACAGTGCTTTATGGGCCCTAGCATTATCATGTAAAAGAAACTACTTCTCAGAATCAAAAAGTTTTCCTTATCATGTTTCTTAATTGCAAAAGTACTGCTTAATGGAGTGATTTTCAGAGGCAAATTCACAATGAATAAGTCCTTTGTAATCAACATCAGTTTAGTGTTCGATTTCGACCATCCATAATACCTTTTTTGGGGGGAGGGAGGTATGTGCAACTGTCCTTTCCACTGTGCACTTTATTTCTAGATTGTATTGTAGACACCAAGCCTCATCTTCTGCTATGATACACTTTAAGAAATTAGTGTCCTGTTTCATAATATTCAGCAAACTTTTCTGTCAAAATCTGAGATTCAATTTTTCTTTATTTTCAGATTTTTAATTAAACTTAACCTGTAGTTTTCTTTGCTTAAACTAAGCATGTCTGAAAGTTAATTAATAAATGTATACCAAATTCAGTTAACATTGAGGAGCTAAAATTTAACAGCAAACTTTTTAAAAACTACACATACAGTTTTTACAAAACTTGGCACTTTGCCATAATTTGAATCATAGAATTGAAAAATGGAAAAAAGTGCATGTTATTTCAGAAAAAAGTCCAATTTTGTGTTAGAACAATGCTATATATAACTCTAATATATATTCTAAGTTAAATTTTGTCAGTCAGCTGAGTAGAACAAGAGATACCGAACTACGTCTTTTTTTTTGTGTGTGTATGTAACGTACAGTTCAGCCGTCTTATCTTTTCAGGCCCTTGTGTGCTGCATATAAAATTCTTTTAATCAATATGTTTATCTGATAATGAAAAACATGCATTTAAAATTTATGTTCTTGTTATTTGTGAAAGTATGAACTCATATAAGTAGGTGAGGACAGTATTGGCATGAAATTCCATACTAGAAACTGCAATAATATTTAATGGTTGCCATCAAGTTTTAACTATTAACTCTTTGTCGCATAGTGTGTTCGTTCTGGACACACCTAAAAATTTCTTACTGTATGCACATAAAAATTGAATGAAAAAGGATTTATAGGTTACTCTGAACCTTCTTTATTTATAGAAGATTGCGCCTCAACACAAATCATGCATATAATTTTAGCCATGTTTAGTTTTTTAAGACCCTTTTTTGCAAAGAAATCTTCCAGATTTTTTTTAGGGTATAAAGAATTGTTGACAAAGAAATTTCGATGTTATTTTTTTTTTGGCTGTATGCTAATCTCCTTATTCTAAATTATTTAAATTTTTACCTTGAATCTTGCTAAAAATCAACGGCGAACCCTAGTGTCTCAGACCAATTCACCGATAACCTAGGACAACTAAGAGTCTGAATTCTTTTTTCTCTGGCATCTCATCAGTCATTTCATTGACAGCAATGCTTTTGTTTGTCATCAGGCATCGTTTCAAAGCTCTATTCCAAATCATTGTGCCACTTTGTGCACACCCCACAGAATTAAAACGATAAGTGCTATCTTCACAAAATGTTACTTGTGTACTCCTCTAAGCCTAATTAGAGTGCCTACCTTTTTTTTATATATATCAAAACTCCGATTTTAAAAGGTAGCATGCTGGAAAAGGTTAAAAGGAATCCCCCTTTTTTTATGTCTTTAAAAACAATTTGTTTTGAATTAATATTTGTGCTTACCTGCAGTTCATGATTTATTTAGTACAAATATATGGTTTGTGAATTTAAACATAATTTTTGAAAGATTAAGTACTTTCTATAAACAAGTTAATGTTAACAGCAAACAATTCATCCAAGTTATAATATAATGAACCATAACAATTTAGTTATGGTTTTATAATAAAAGGGAAACATATTAAAAATTATATATGTATATATGTAATATTTTAATGTGCTGCTTGAAAACTGTGCAGTTAGAAAGATGACACTTGAATACAGATGTGGTCGCTTGAAACCATCATTTTATTCCATGGTAATGCACAGCAAATCATTTTTCAGTAGACAAGATATTTCTTGATCATAATTCAATATAATAATTTTTATGTACATGAGATTTACTATGTAGTATACATAGTAAAAAGCAAAGGGGGACAACTACGCATAGCAGCGCACAGATGTTTTGCAAGGCAGGGAAAGTTAAAAAAGAATGACGTAATTGCTCGCAAAGCAGTATTTATACTAGGTGGGTGCATATGTACAGCTAAGTTGCGATTGGTTAATTTTAGATTTTAGTTATCTTTGCAAGCAGTGTTATGCAACGATCATATGATTTTGGAAAGATCTTGAATCTGGGAGAAAAGATTAACATAGTGGGAGAACATCAAATTTAGAGTAGTCAATTTTAAGGTTCACAATTATTTCTTAAGGTAGCCATCATATTTTATTATATCTTACATATATATATAATGCAAAATAAATTAAAATAATGCTTCTAAAATCCATTCTATATTGAAAACAAATTTGAAACAAACCAGAAGCACAGTTGCAAACTGCATGAAAGGTGCAAAAACAAAAAGGAACAGGGAGAAAGAAATATACATTACGATGTAACATAAGATCTAAATTTCTTTTTCCCTTTTAATTTTTTTTAATCTAATTGAACATGGGATGGATTTTTAAAGATATTAATTTATTTTGCCTTATTACCATCACTTATAGCAGCCTCAATTATGTTTTGAGCTGTTTTATTTTGTATTTATTCATTTATATATATACAGGGTGTCCTGTAAATGTTGCAACAAATTTCTGGAGGAAGTAAACCACGTCATAAGGATTAAGAATTGTATAGGAACCCATGCCCGCAAATATCAGGGGTAAGTGGTAACATTAGATTACGAATACAAATGGTGTACGACAGCTTGAATGTTACAATAGATGCTTGAAGTTTGCACCATCAGACACCAAACATGCCTGACACCGACAGATCATTGATTGCCTGACATGTTTAAACACACCGGGAGTTTCTTTGATTGTAGCAGCTGTGCAGGTGAGTCTTGCCATGAGATCCATATTAGGCACAACAGGATCATGATATACGACACCTCTGATGACTCCCTACAAAATGAAATCAAGACTCGATAAATCCGGTGAGCATGGGGGCCAGGGAATCAGTCCATTACGTCCAATCCATCCATGCAGGAGTTTTCTGTTCAATTGGCTATGAACATCCAGTCCAAAATGAGCAGGCCACCACAGATTAACTTTGAAGCGTTGTTGTGCCGCACACCGTGGGGGGGTTTTCTTGAGCCCAAGGTGATTGAATATGGCCTCATCCGTGAACAACACATAAGCTGCAAATTAACATAATGGGCACTTTCTTGCGGGAACCACTATGTAAAATGCACAATGAGGATGTCATATCAGGAGCAGTAATTGAACCATTTGGAGACGAAAGATGTGGAAGGACTCATCGTTCAAGGCATGCTGGACACTGGTACGAGACATTCTTAATTTAGAGGCAATGGCACATATGCGGCCTTGGATTACCCCACTGATCCAAACATTTCTTCCTAATGACCGAGAATCATTGTGGCATGCTCCACTTATCCACATTTCTAATGACCGTAAGCACAAATTTTCGAATGCAGATGTGCAAACAAACTGTGGTGTGGTTGATGTTTTTGGGGAACGTTCTCGATAAATCGTTAGCGCTCGCCATTACTCTCACTATGTGTACAATAAAGTTAAGCTCTATGTTTGTATAGTGTTCCATGCTCTTCCTATGGTGCCTACTGCTCGAATGAGGCAATTCTCACTTTCTACTAGCACTTCTCTGGCGGCATACAGTGACTTTTCTGGGCATGGGTTCCTATGCAATTCTTAATCCTTGTGATGTGCCCTACCTCCCCCAGAAGTTTGTCGTAACATTTACGGGACACCCTGTATATATAATCAGTATAGACGAAAAAGTAAGAAATTTAGAACCAATTCCACAAAAGAAATGAAATTCAAACCAGTGAATTTCAAAAATCCCAATAAATATGTAAAATTAACCAAAATCAGAAGAATTAAAGAAATATGAAATACTAAAACCTCAAAAAATAAATACATATAAAAGAAGAGGAATGCACTCATATCTGATATAACATTATCAAGAGGAGGTACATCTGACTCAACTGACCCCCCTTCCCCTTTAAAATCCACTGGGTTTCTGTTATACAAAATTAGATAAAGAACCATTCTTAATTATTTAATTATAACAGTTCCTGAAAATTCTGAATTCTTTCCCAATACAATGAAAGAATTGCAATGTCAAATCAAGCAGATTAAATTAATTAGATGCTTTTAACTAAATTTAAAATTGAAATTAAGTAGTAATTAAAAAATTGCTGAAGTACTTCTAACTTTAACTACTTCCAAATACTAAAATTCTTTTAAATTACTAATATTAAAAACTTGGATAATTTGTTTAAATGAAAACTGGTGATAATGTGTATTATACAGATATAATTTATTATTATAAAAGTTTTTTAATATCATCTCCAAGGAACATAAATTTAATTAATTTGATGACTTATTGGAATAAATTTGAGTCAGCATTTTAAGTATAAGTAATTTAGATTTCTCTTGTAGTAAAAATATTTTAATAATCTGTATAGAAATATAATTTTAAACTGAAAAATTCTAAAAAGTGAAATTAAAATGTAAAGTACTAAAAAGGTAGCCATTGTTATTGACCATAGATTAATTGACTTGTCAAAGAGAACAAACCAATCCACTATCAAATAACAAAAACTAAATAAAGTGAGAGTGTTTTGTCTTATATATATATATATAAAGTATTGAGTCCTTGTCTAAAGACAATTGCTTTTGGAACATTAAAATAACTTAATTTTTCTATGAAATGAATTTCTATTCTTATGTGAAAGTTTATTACACATACTTTTAATATACTTCTCATACCCATCTGGAAAATTTTGAATATATGCATATACACACTGCACAACACAATTTTAAACAATAGTACAGCAGATTGCAATAAATATTTTTTTTATGAATGTACAGGCACAAGAGATGCCTTAGAACAAATACAAGAATAGTACTTGAAAGAATAAATTATTCACTTGCATCTTCTTTATAGTAATGTTTACAATAATTACTCAAAATTGCTTCTGCTAACAGTAATAGTACATGCTTGACAGTGTCAATAGAATAATTTCCTTATACTTTTCCTAGTAGACGACTTGCCTGGCCGAAATATTTAGCATCTTTGTAGGTATGCCTGTCATGCCTTCAACACTGTCAAGTACTATTGATGGATATCATTTGGGACATTTACTGTAAACACCGTTCAACTTATGTAACAAGTAAATAAGCGAAATATTACACACACACACATATATATATAATAATAGATTTTACTCATTTGCTTGTTTTTTATAAAACAAGTTACAAAGATAATTCAACACATAATTAGAAACAGTTGCATATAAACTAGCAAAAGCCATGAAAATTCAGCAACTTGAAATAATTAAATGGGCAACATTAGTAGTTTAAAATTTCAGAATAAATAGAATTATTGAAATTTTTATTATGTTTCATAGTAAATTTTTAGGTTTTATAATAATAGCTTTTACTTTACACAAGTTCCTTTAAAATGATTTGATTTGCATTTTAACTGTATTCCAGAAATTTCAGTTTAAACTGAACAAACTTGTTATAATTGGTCATAATTTAAATTGAACTTTGTATTTGTAAATTTGGATTATACAGCAATTATGCAAAAAGGAAAGGTGGTGTTTACAATGGTTTTTTCTCATATAACTCATAAAATTAATTTTTTTGTTTGTAAATAAAAAGCATGCTAACAATACATGATGCACAAAAACATGGTAAAGTAGTTAGTAGTCAGTAGAAGCATATTATTAGATTTGACTAATGTAGGCTCGATTGTAAGTGGATTATTGGTTGCACTTTGAACAATATTTTCAAACATAACACAGTTAAATGATTAATTAATTTCACCAGTTTCCAAATCAAGGAACTGTCTAGCCACTAGATTAAAAGAAAAGCACAGAAATCAAATCAACTGATTAAACATAATTTTTCAACTTGCTAAAAAAATAAATGCTTAGATATTTATTTATATAATGATAATTTATTTGATGTTCGGTTAATTTTTTTTTTCCCACATCAGGGTATAACTAACTTGAAACAACAACAAAAAATCATTTAGAGATAAGCATTATTTTATTTAATGAACCGAATAAAATGCCTGATAACTTGAAGAAAATTAAAATATGTAGGTGTAAGAACAAAATGTACAAAAGGCAAAAATTCAGTTTTAAATTTCTTCCTATAAGCAAAAAGAATCGAAATACGTATGCAAAACAAACTGTTCTAAATATAACTGAGACCCATCAAGAAATAAATAAATCTGCACTAGCTATATAATACTCTACAAAATGGCCATAATACACAAGTACGACAAATATAACCTTAATATTATAAGTTCCTGTCACAGATCATGGATATACAAAAAAGAGTCCCGTAATTTTTATACACGAAAATTCGTTTCCAGTTCTGTATCTAATATGTTTCTTCGCTATTGTCATATTTTACAGTTATTTTATATGGAGAGACAAAAAGAATTACTTTTATTTTCTGTATATATTTTAACAAAAGAAACCTTATAAAATGTAGCAAGAAAGTCAGAAAATATCTGACAGCTTTATCGCATTTAAGTCTTCATTGAAATGTTAGAGAAATTTCACTTCTTCCTATTGGTCGGTCGGTCAGGTTATGCTGGGAATATTGTGAAGTTCGCAATGTGTCCGACTAATTAAAAATGTTGCCATAAAGGCGCGTCACGTAATGAATTCTTCAAATGAAATTCTCATGAAAGAAAATTAATATATGTAGAAAGACTCCTAGGTTTGAATTCGTCTGCTAGCTTTATAGTCACGTGACTTGTAATATACCATCAGTTTAGTTGTAGAACTACTGGTATAGCTTGTGAGATAAGACCTTGAATCATATGTAACCAATCGTATATTCAGGATAATAATCTGTGTGGGCATTCAATTTGAAAAAAGCGGAGATGATAAAAATTCTTTTGCAATGCTATATAGTTACACTTGATATTTTGCCTTTATTTCTCCTAGTTTTTTATTCACAATACTTTGATCAGAAGCATCTGGCTGAGTCGGAATTGTTTAGATCCCAAACAAATAACTGAAGAATAGGTATGTGCTAATGTGCAATAGATATTTATTTTAGTAATTTAAAGCTAATACCATGAGAAATATGTTTTTTTTTTTTAATTTAAAGTGAAAACGAAGTAGAAGCGTTTGATACCAAAGTATATTACGTTTATAAAATAAAATTAGAGTCCTTTAAAAAATATAGTGTAAAAGATAGCAGGGGTGGTACCTTTTGATATCCTGTCTATACTTCATTGAGAAATTATACGTAAAACAAGTTGGTAAACTTTTATCAATTAAAAAATTAATGAGGTTTAAGTATATCCTATACGCAATTTAAAAAGTAATAAGGTTTAAGCACATTGTACGTATATGTTAGTGTGTAATAATTAAGGTGGTTGTATAATTTATGAGATTATAATGGGAACTGAAGTTGTAAATAACCAAATCTAAAGAAATTCCTCTTGATGTGTTTTTTAAAGTGATGCGTACCTTATGGAGGATAAGTGTGTATAATTTCTGTGTTCTACAGCATTTTATTTCATAGTATTTTATTATCATAAGACTAATCGGTACAATTCCTTTATAGGAACCGTAAAAAATCACCAAACTATTGCTGATGCCAAAAATAATTATGGTAATCCTTACGCAAGAAAGGAAGCATAATAGTAAATAACTATCTAAGATTACTATTTGAATTTAGATGAAAGATTAATTTTATATAATACATTTTTTATTATAATTTATAAAAATAAAGGCTGAACATAACTGAAAGAAAGTGTAATAGTAAATAACTATCTAAGATTATTAATTTAATTTGATTAAAGGTTAATTTCATATAATACATTTTTTTATTTTAATTTATAAATAAAAGGTTTAATATAACTGTAATTAAACAAGAGGTATAGAATTCTTTATGTCTTCCAACATTGCAGAGAAAATTTCAATTTTTTTTTTGTGCAAACATGCGTACAGAAACTTGGACTTGTATTTGACAACAGTTAATGTCCATACTTTTCCGTTATGGATTTGCCATGTTTTTTGACACCTGTGAAAGAAAAATCAAATATATGCCGAGACCTAAGAGTAGCACCATCTGGATACTATATGTGTATGTATGTGTAAACAAGAATAATTAAACGTACCTGCACGAATATTATTACAGCAGTACTTCCAAAATGCATGGTAGGTGTGTAATGGAAAATTACCTTGTTTCAATAATAGTGGAACATTGCTGGAAACACATCGAAATCACAAATCTGAAAACAAAAATTTCCAACAAAAACACGGTTAAACGCTTTTAGTTTTTAGAATTTATTTTCTTGAAGTATGCATTTGTCTCTTAATGTCTTTTTCTGAAGTCATGCATTCCTTATGGAGGATAAGTGCGTATAATTTCTGTGTTCTGCAGTATCTTATTTTATTATTATATGACTAATCATTTGTAACAAAGATTTGTATTTGACAACAGTTAATGTTGGTACTTTCCCATTATGCATTTGCCACGCCTTTTGGCACAGAATAGTAGCAAATACGGATACATGTCTTGAGAATAGCTACATCCAGTGCTATTGAATTTTTTCTTTTATACCTTGAATTTGGAAATCGGTGGGAAATATTTTGGAGAAACAGTGTAAAAAAATTAAAACAGATATTTTCCTCCATTATTTTATTAAATTGTTACTTTGCATTAAATGTTTTAAGTAATTAAACTTGTAATTAGGTGTTAAGAAGATACATATTTTTTAATGTAAATCACTAAATTAATAAATAGTTAGAGATAATATTAAATTGTATAAAATTTTATAAATTAGTGCTGTAAAAGAATAAAATATCTTAATAGCTTTTTGGCATTAGTAATTTGCAAAATCACATTTATCATTTATATATAAATTAATACAGTAGTATAACAAAACAAGCAAACAAAAAAAAAAAAAAAAAAAAAAAAAAAAAAAAAAAAAAAAAAAAAAAAACTTGCATATTTTATATAAATGGAAATAAAACTGAGTAAATACAACCATAGGAATCTCATTTTTTTCTGCAGTTCATGTAACTTCTTCAAACTAGCTCATCACATATTATCTGTGTTCTTGCCAGCTACATTCTGTGCTTTAAACCAAAGAAGGGGGTGGGAAAGGCTGTCTTTTTAACTTCTAATTTCTTGTTGTGTTATGTACAATTCCAAGCGATTAAAAAAAATAATAATAATCTTCTAATCCCTGGTGATGAAGCCCCTGCTACATATAACATGTTAATGATACCTTATTCCTTTTTTCTTGTGCGAGCAGGTAGAGAAAAAACACCGGCTCAAGTTTGGTAGCTGACTCTCATTTTCAAAAAAATGTTTCACAGAAAAGTGGATCATGAATTATTAACTTCATTGTAATGCTGAACAAAGCAATGTCTGCATATTTTGCTTTTGCTAATTCTAATGCCTATTCCTTTTCACTTTGCAAGGCTTGAGCTTTTATACTTTGGCATTAAAATGTGCCTTGATGATGTGCTTGTTCATATCGTGTTTTAAATAATTTTGTGCATTTTTTTATCAAGATCTTTCTAGACAAAGATGCTGCTCTACTGGATTTTATTCAGAATAATTAAAACTGTCTTGGGAAGGCTGTCAAGGGATCCACATTTCATTACATCTATAACAACTGGCCTTACATCTACATTTCAGCTGGCTAATTCACATTACAACTGGCTGGTAAGAGATCTAAATTTTGTGTGACTGGCGTAGAAGAACTTTTGACCAATTATTCTCATCTGGTACATCTGTTTGTTGGTACTCATGTTAGCTCTTTGAAAGAAAAAATGTTAATGCTTACATGAAAGAGGAGAATTTTACAAACATTCCTTTCATTTTTTTAGAATTTCAGTCTTGGTACACTTCTATTGAGAGGGCTCTTCTTGCTATGTGGACTATATTCACATTGTATATGCGAAGAAAACAAAAATGCCTTGGCAAGGAAATATGTGAAATTATTATCTGGTTATTTGAATTAAGATGATTTGTCAGGATGATTTTGATAGAAAGTATAGGATGTAGCAAAAAATATAGATAATTTGGAACTAAAGTTTAAAAAAAAAATGAATAGTACTAGTTCAGAGAATGAGAATGTATTTCATGACATAGTTCCAAAACAAAAGTTTAAATGCCTGAAATATAATTTAAAAATTTTGGGGGTGATGTCAAGAAGTTACTCAGTTTCTTTGGTCAGCTCCAAAAAAAAATTCATGATGATCCAGATGTTCTACCTCGATGTAAACTTGGTATTTTTTAAGCCACACTGATAATTTGCATGAATTATTTTCCCTTTTCATCTGAGAACTATACTCAGGTAGCTGAAAATCTTAAAAGCCTAATTTGACAAACAGTATCTCCTTGTAGAAATATATGTGAGGGAATTATTGAGCTTAATTTTAAATAATTGAACTAAGTCAGTGATGTAACTTGCCAAATTGTACAATAAAACTGAAATTCATATCTGAGCTCTTGAATACTAACTATAATTTCCAATAAGTATGCATTTATGTTATACATTGTTAAATCCTGTTTGCATGTGCATATTATTAAAGTATATATAAGAAATGTAGATTTAAGTGAAATTAGTAAAAAAATTGAATTTATTGCTGTTATATTTTGTTTTTAAATCTCAAGTAGAAGTGAAAAAAAGAGTATCAGTAGTATGTTTTGATAGCTTAAGAAGCCAGATCTAAAACAAAGTATTCCTTCCACCATCACACCAGCTACTTTTCAGTCTTCAAATATGTATGCATCTATGTTGTATCCTGTTAGCCCGAGCATATTATTAGAACATACATAAGAAATATAGATTTAAGTGATGTTAGTAAAAAATTGAATGAATTAATGTTGCATTTTTTTTTTTTTTTTAACTCAAGTAGAAAGTGAAGAAAGACTACAAGTGGTATATATTGATTGTATAGTGGCCATATCTAAAAGAAATCATCCTTTCCACCTGGCACTTTTCAAAGGACAGTCAATCATTTGAGGTTTTAGCATATCGACTCTTGATCCCTGACATTAGATCCATCAACAATTGCTTAGTCTTTGTCTCAAGTGTCCTTGGCCAAATGTAATAAAAGATGTTTCAGTCTGAGTATGTGGTGCTTTTTTAAAGGAGACGTGACTGTGACGAAATCATTGGAAGTTCCATTTCTGTTGATATTTCCAGTGAACAAATAATACATACATGTTCTGTACTTTTCAGAGGAACTTAATGGCAGTTTTTATAGCCCGACCTTTTAAAAGAATGCATAAAGAACTACTGCAGTAAGTAAGAGTGGAGATGGGCTTTGCAATGCATTTTGGTGTTTCCCTTAGGAACTGTTACTCAAAGAAAGCAACTTTACTCGAGATATTAAGGGCCATTCACATTGGGATTTATCTGAGCTGACAAGGACATCTAGCATAGTGGACGCAGTTCCGAAACCATATTTTCCTCGTACCAGAGCGAGTTGAAAAATCTGAATTGCACGTATAGCAGAACTATTTGACGCATGGAACTGATTCCGTTAGCTCGAATAAAACTACAGTGTGAATGGCCCTTTATTGATGCAAAGGCTCAAAAGAAGATGTGTTTCAATGCACCCAGATATGGAAGAGATGATAAATGCTACTAAGATGGTACAGGAAAACAACTGAGATAAGTGCAAGGCTATGAAAGGAAAGAAATTTGTGGTTTTGCATACAAGGCAAATTTGTTCCTGCTGGTAACTGTACAATTAATACAGTAAAATTTGAGTTACTAGAACATTCTTACAC